ATATAGAATATGGCACTCCTGCTTTTCATTATTCTTTTTTTCTATTTTTTTTCTTGTGCAAGAGACATTGTGCTGCCAGGCATGTTATAACTTGTCAACAACTGTTTCTGTATGATGGAATATGAAAAAAAGAAAGCATGAAAAATAAATAGAAAAAATTAAATATAAATAATAAATAGTATGTTAAATTATGCACTTATGTGTACATCACTGACACTTTTAAAAATCTTTAAAAATTTGGCAGAGAATAAGATAATCTCAGAGTTTGCTAATTGCTTGAGGGCATTAACAGGTTTAATTATTATGTGATTGTAAAACTCCTGAGGACACAAAACCTGTTTATCACCATGTCATATTTTAGAGTGAGCGTTAATGCATTTGTATACAGCATTAGTACACAGTACTCCACATGTTTTACACAACATTTGAAAATCACTCATAGTCCATATACCATAAAATCATAGTCCATATACCAAACAAACACACATGGGTACAACATTTGATAATTTCTTTTCATTTTAAAACAATGAAAAAATGAATTTTTATTTTTTGTTTTTAAAATAAATGGATAAATAAATTATACTGACTCCAAGAATGGTATAGTGTATAATGGTATACAGTGTATAATGGTACAAAAGATTTTATTTCAGGTAAATGCTGATATTTGGATCTTTCTATTCATCAGATAATCCTGATTTTTTTTTTTTTACTTTAAAATGTGTTTTAAATATTGATAATAATACTAATCAATATTTAAATTATGATTTTTAGAATATTTAGAATGATTTCTAAAGGATCATGTAACACTGAAGACTGGAGTATTAAAAAACATTTAAAATCTTAAAATCTGTTCAAAAACTTTTGTATGTTGAAAAAGATAGAAACACAAAAAAACAACCTAGGCAGACCTGAATCAACTCTGTCCTAAACTGCTCTCTGATCTCCTCATTATGACAAGTATGAATAATTTATGATCAGTCTGTCTATCAAGTGTGTTGTATTTGTGAAAACATGGCTTCCTTGGGGATATAAGCCTCTGTGTATGTAGAGCAGCCTTCCCTGTGAGCGCACCCAAACAAAGACACACAAAATAAAGATTAAACATTAATAAACAACCAGTGGTTTGTATATTACATCCATAATCTGTAGCTCAGGGGTCCTTTTTCAGGCCTAGAACCCCTGGATGTATAGAGAGATGGCGCAGGTTACTCTGATGCTTTTTTTTCTTGAAAATACATTAAAAAAATTATTATTGACAAATAGACCAATATATTTTTTCATATACTCTTTATGCTTCCAGTTTTACTTAATATTTGGTAACCTTTGGTAACCTTTAACATAACAATGAGCAATACATTGTTACCATTGTTACAATATTTATTACAACATTAGTTAATAAACAACTATTAGAATAAAGAGAATAAAAGAGAAAGAATAACTGACTCATAAATCAAAATTTACTCTAAAGTGTAGATGATTTTTTTTTTCATCTGAACAGATTACATCAATTGCTCATCAATAAATGATTAATCAATTGCAGTGAATGGGTGCCATCAGAATGAGACTCCAAACAGCTCAAAAAACATCACAACAATCTACAAGTAAGTCCAGTCCATCAATGAATGTCTTTTGAAGTGGAAAAACTGTGAATTGGTAATTAACTCCTTAAATGTAACTGTATTAACTGTGTATTAACATTAAAAAGTGAAAAGAGAGGCATGCACAGATTAAGCATTTAAAAGTGAAAACAGTCCAAAACTGCTCTAAACAAATATGTTGGTGGATTTTGATGTGAGAGGATGACTGGAGGAAGCGTTAATATGGATTGTGGATTTGTATTTTGGCCAGAAGCAACAGTTTAAAGTTAAAATGCCCTAATTGATTTGTTTATGATAAACACACAGCTTTTCACGTCACAAGACATTAATTGATGGACAGGATTTGTGTTTATTAATTGTGGATTATTGTGATGTATTTATCAGCTGTTTGGACTCTCATTCTGATGGCACCCATTCACTGCAGAGGATCCATTGGTGAGCAAGTGATGCAATGCTACATTTCTTAAAATCTGTTCCAACGAAGAAACAAACTCATCTACATATTGGATGGCCTGATGGTAAAAACATATTCAGCAAAATTTCATTAGTTGATGTTAGCTCAGGTCAATTGACCAATTTTGATTTTAACAATGTAGTAAATGTTGAAATTAGCATTAAATAAGCATTAAATAAGATTAATAAATGCTTTAGAAGTATTTTTCATTGTTAGTTCATCTTAACAACATGACCTTTTTTCACTTAAAAAAAAAAAAAAAAAGATAATAAAAATTAACAGCCACCTCATTGAAGGCCCTTGCTTTAACTAGTTAGGAAAGTTCTTCCACAATTTAGGCCTATACTTAACACTGACGTATCAAGGGAATTACCTGTACTTTTTCTTGACAGCACTAGCCCTCAGTGAAAAGACTGTCTCTAAAGAGAAGCCTTGTTTTTCCACTACACGATGACATGTGTCATGGGCTTCCCCAGGTCTGAAAGGGCAGAAAGATTTTAATAATTAATGAGTTTTAATGAAATGGTTTTTAATGTTGATCTTAGGGGTGTTCTTGCTGCTCTCTTGTGTCTCTTTACTTTAATGTTTACTTAAAATTTGTCTGTCCATCATCATCATCATCATCATCATCATTATGAGACTGTGGAAATGAACTTTTCAAACTTAGTGTTATTAACTTTTGGCACATTTCAAGTATACAGTACACGTCTAACAATTAAAATAATGTAACAGTTTGCAACATAATTCTGACTGATTATTAAGGCTAAGTCTGAATTCCTTTTCAAACTCATTACTGAAAATGCAAAAAGACCGAGGATGCTGTTTAAGACAATTGATTTGGTGATAAATCCCTTACCTTTATCTTGATTCATCTCGGAAAACCTGTGAGAACTTTTTTTTATTTTTTGATAATAAAGTATTGACTATTAAGGCTTCTATTAAGCCATCAACATATGATCCCCGATTGAGCTGTTCACCAACAGATTTGTTAACTTGTTTTCATCCAATTTCCTCTGTACAGCTAGCTGATATTGTTGTTAAGACCAAATCCTCCAGCTGTGAGTCTGATGTCATCTCAGCTCATCTTTTTAAGGAAGTGTTTGCAACCCTGAGTCCGGCTGTAACAGCCATAATTAATAGTTCTTTAGCAAATGGAGTTGTACCAGTTTCAAACATGCTGTGGTTCACCCTCTGCTTAAGAAACCTCACCTTGATCCATCTATCCTCAGTAATTTCCAACCTATTTCTAAGTTGACTTTTATCTCAAAGCTATTAGAGAGAGTTGTTTATCGTCAGTTGAATTCCTATATCAGTATGTCCAGTGTTTTAGATACTTTTCAGTCAGGTTTTAGATCACTGCACAGCGCAGACACTGCACTGTTGAAGGTTAGCAATGACCTTTTGCAAGTTCTCTATACTGGTTTATATGTGGTGCTTGTTTTGTTGGATTTAAGTGCGGCATTCGATACAGTTGATCGTGGGATTCTGTTACATCGGTTGGAAAAGTTGGTGGGTATTCAGGGCGTCGCTCTGCAGTGGTTGGCCTCTTATCTCAAAGACAGAACCTTCTCAGTGAGCATTGGGAAGTTTTCTTCTTCGTCGGCTCCTTTGTTATGCGGTGTGCCCCAAGGGTCCATTTTAGGCCCTCTTTGTTCACTTTACATGCTTCCCTTGGGTGCCATTTTTAAGAAATATAAGATTTCCCACCACTGCTATGCTGACGATACACAGTTCCATCTTCTAGCAAAAACTTACAGCAGTGATTCTTTGGATGTGCTCTACGACTGTTTTGAGGAGATAAAAAGTTGGATGGCTAATAATTTTTTGCAGTTAAACAAAAGCAAAAGCGAAATTCTGATTTTAGGCCACTCTAGGACTTCATCTGTTTTTAATTTAGGGTCTCAACCAGTGTTCAACCCTATGTAAGAAATCTTGGGGTTACATTTGATTCATTACTCAACTTTGAGAAACAAATTAGCACAGTGGTAAAGGGCAGCTTCTTCCATCTGAGATGAATTGCTAAACAGAAATAGTTTTTGCCCTGACAAAGATTTGGAGACTGCAATCCATGCTTTCATAACATCACGCCTGGATTACTGTAATTCCCTTTACTGTGGCCTGCCTCAAACAGCGATTTCTCATCTGCAAATTGTCCAAAATGCTGCAGCGAGGCTTCTTACTGGAACAAAAAAGAGGGATCACATTACTCCAATTTTAGCGTCTTTACATTGACTTCCTGTAAAGTTTAGAATTTATTTTAAAATAGCTGTCTTTGTGTACAAGGCTTTATCTGGTCTTGCACCAAAATACATCAGTGACCTTCTGATTCCTTACTCTCCTCAAAGAGCACTTAGGTCGAGTAATCAGCTTCTCTTAACTGTCCCACGTTGTCGCTGTAAAACCAAGGGTGGTCGGGCTTTTTCAGCTGCAGCTCCTAAACTTTTTAATAGTTTGCCTGTAAATGTGAGATTTGCTGCTTCACTAGCCAGTTTTAAAGGGGTCATATGATGCGATTTCAAGTTTTCCTTTCTCTTTGGAGTGTTACAAGCTGTTCGTGGCTGTAAAGTTGCTTTGCAACGATTTGTATCGTAAAAAGCGCTATACAGATAAACTTGAATTGAATATATATTCTTTTTTTCCCCTTAGAATTATTTGGTTCTGAGAATGCAAATTATTTGTTTCTTTAGTTTATGGGAAACCATCTGTGGTCCTAAATAGATCGGATCTTAATTTAAGCTCAATTTACAACCCTAAAATTAACTTTTATTTTATTTTATTTCATTTTATTTTAAACATTGTCAGAGAAAACACCTTCAGTGACATTTTGTAAAAAAAAAAAAAGTTTGACAGTAAACATCAGACACTTGATAATTTCTATGTCGTTTATTGATTTATTTACAGATGTCCTGGTTTTGTCACGTCACACCTGTGTTCACGTCTCTACAGGAAGTACTGCACAGGATGCTGCTTGAGACGGACTCACCTGCAGCTCGAAACTGGGTGGGAAGTGAAACTTTACGATTTGCAATAAATATGTTTGTTTTTCAGCTACAAAACCCACATTCAAATCAAATCAACAGGTTTATACCCTCTCGGTGTTAAAGGATCATGTAAAACAGGATGGAGGGCTAGTTTTTTGCGGTTTCTCCTGCAGACACCTGCGCGCGCGTGTCAGTGAGTTTCGCTGTAGGTGAGGACAAAAGGACTGACAGCGGCCAATTTGACAAATACGTCGTATGACATGGAGCCACTCAAATCTGGGGAAAAAATTCCGGTATGTTTTAAACTGAATATCATCATTTTTTTTCTTTTAGTCCGCCGTTTCCGTCGTTGTCAGCTGCTAAATTTTCCGATATTAATCTTATGGGACGTCCTGTATAGTGCTGTTTGTGTTTGTAATTAACACAATTGTGCCTAAATTATTCAGTATTTATAGTTTATATACATATATATGTTAGTTGTATAATATATTGTTATATATTCTAAAAGTTATTTTTAATCATAGTCATATATGTATATACAGTACATACTACATAAATACACACACACACACACACACACACACATATATATATATATATATACATATATACATATATATATATATATATGCCTTTATGCTTTGATTTGTCTCACTGCGTTTTATATTGTTCAAATTATGGTTATATTGCTGTTTCAGTTTCACTTTAATGCTTATGCTTTAACTTTTTGAAAAATATTAAAAGATGTGACTTTAAGATTGCCATGTAAAAAACCCTGTTTTTCTTATACTAAGAAAAACTGGCACTTGAGTCACATGACCCACGCACGCTTTTGCTAATGCATACTTGATTGGGGTGGGTTGTTGACGCTGATGAGCAAGGTGTTGGTTCAGAAAACAGTTGCAGCCTTATGCCATATAGTCATACCAGTGAGTTTGGAGTGCTTAAGAGGAATAGCCTGTTTTGACATGGGTGGTTCAAAATTGCGTCTTAGTCATGTACAGTACAGTGCACCCTTAGGGTAGTTGCAGAGTGTAACTCATTCTATTTGTAACAGTCACGTGTAAAAACAAGTGTATTTGACTTGTATTTTACATTTCTCTGTAGGACCATGACTTGGACCAGACAGAGCAGTTTCTTCCAGCATCAGATGCAAAAAAGTTGCAGAAGAAGAGGGTATCGTTGAGGGCCATCGTGGCAATAGGTCTACCGACAGCACTGGCGATCATTGCATTAGTAACTGGACTGTTAGTGTGGCATTTCCATTGTGAGTTATTTAACTCATAAACAAACAAACACACTATTATTATCACCAGTAAACAGTACATTTGAATGATTATGATAAAATAATAACTCCAGCGTGTCCATTGTTACAGACAGGTATAATGGGAGGGTGAGGAAGATGTTCAGTGGTTATTTGACCATCTCCAGTCAAACGTTCTCAGATGCTTATGAAAATAGTAACACCATTGAATATAAAGAACTGGCTTCAAAGGTCTCAAGGCAGGTGAGGTGGTCATATTTCTTTGTAATGTTTTCAGTTATTTTTTATTTTCTTTATGTCTACTTAAAACTTTGCTTCATTGTACGTTGTCTTTCAGCTCAAAGGTATATATGGTCAAGTGCGCTTGCTGTCAAAGTACCATGTGGTGTCCAGTGTGCAAGGTTTCAGGTAATTGAAATAATTGAAATAATTCTACCATTCATGGAAGAAAATTATGGGTAGTTGACATGAAAGGTCAATCAGAAAGGCCTTTTTTTCTAATTTTTGTGTAGTTATTAAAAATGCATTTGACCTTGTATGACCTCATATTAACTGACATACTGCATGAAGTATTTGGGCTTTAGAAAACGCATTGCAGGACTATTTAAGTGGTGATGTACATAAAAGTCAAGCCAAGCTCTTAATTGTCATTACATAAGTAACCAAATTATTTTTCTTTTCACTGGTTGATGCAGAATATTAAAATTAAAAATGTAAATAGAGAAATAAAAATAAGATTGAAAAATATATAAAGAATGTAAAACTCCTATAAGACATAAGAATCAGACTTACAAGTAGAAGTGTATGTGTAAAGATTAATTTTAAATTTGAATTTCATTGTTGAAAATAAAATTTAGACAAGTTTTTGTCAGCCAACCTTGAATAGTTCACCCCAATCTATTAGAGCATCACAGAATATGCCAGACTCATTTTACACTGTGAATCTCATTGATGTTATTTTTTCCGTTTAGTGAGGGCAGTAATAATGGTATCATCGCTTATTACCTGTCTGAGTTTAATGTGCCGGAGTCCCAAGTATCTGCTGTGGACGAGGCCATGGCATCCATGGATGGGGGGGAAAATGCAAGGAAAAGCCGGAGGGGGTTTGGTCGCAGGACTGACAATAGCCTCATCATTGACGTCATGACGTCAGGAGGTAGATCTACTGGAAGAGAGTTTTATATTACTTGCATAGTCACCTCTTGTAATCTAACCAGAAACTTCAAATTTCATTTTAGTCTAGCACTATTCAGTCTGATGGTTAACAGTTGAAATACAGATATATTTTGGTGTGCATTACAGCTGTGGATGCTCGGTTAGCTGGCAGAAACCTCAAACGTGAGTTAACAGTACTTTTTTTACATTTAGCTGTTTATTCGTGTTTATATCGTAGACTCATATTCAACTTGTTCTGTCTTTCAGGGTCCAGTAAGAGGTCTCATCATGCTCATGGGAACCAGACAGACATTATCCGGTCTCCAGGTTTTCCCGATTCCGCCTACCTTCCCAACCTTTACACTGAGTGGCAGATTCGGGCCGACCCAGAGCACAGGATCAGACTGGAGTTTGACGTCCTAGACTTGGAGAAAGATTGCCGTAATGATTTCATCAAAGTGTACGACTCATTAGCACCATCAGAGAAGCAAGTCATAGCGGAGTAAGTGTTTATACACTCTCAGTAATCCTCTTCATGAAACAGTACCGCATGTGTGAGCTGTATCACGTGACACATGTCTGTTTTCATTGTCTTTTTCGATATGTGGATTCTAACAAATGTGTTCATGCAGGAAATGTGGATATCGCTTACCTGATGAGAAGCTCATTTTCATCTCCTCTGGGAATGTCATGCTGGTTACACTGGTTACAAATGAGGAGAAAAACTTCCCAGGTTTCAGGGCATTTTATTCTCAGATTCCAGCCAAAATTCAAGGTAGAGTTTAATATTGAGATATAATAAACTCATTAGGGTCCAAAGTTCACTTTTTGACAGACTTTGCCAGTCATACACGGATATTTCTTACTTGCCACGAAACTGTATTTTTTTTATTAAAAAAAAAAAGGCTTATGAAAATGGTATAAAATAAAAAAAAAAATGTTTTTAAAGAAATCTTATACTAACCAAAGCTGCATTTATTTGTAATATTATGTAATATTATGAATTATTATTACAATTTAAAATTACTTATTATAATATCATAAATACTATTATTTTCTGTTTTAATATTATGTTTTTAAAGAAATCTTATACTAACCAAAGCTGCATTTATTTGTAGTATTATGTAATATTATGAATTATTATTACAATTTAAAATGACTTATTATAATATCATAAATACTATTATTTTCTGTTTTAATATTTTTTCAAATGCAGTTTATTCCTGTGATGGGAAAGCTGAATTATCAGCAGCCATTATTCCAGACTTCAATGTCACATGATGTCACAAGAGACATTTATTATTCTCATCAATGTTTAAAACAGATGTGCTGCTTAATTTTTTTTTTGTAACCGTGATGCTTTTTTTTATCAGGATTTTTTGATGAATAGAAAGTTCAAATGAACAGCATTTATTTATTTGAAATAGAAATCTTTAATAGAAACATTTGAAATGTTTTTACTGCCATTTTAGATCAATTTAGTGCATCCTTGCTGAATAAAAGAACAAATTTCCTTCCAAAAAAAAAAGAAGTGTTGTATTGCAGTTCTTTATAAAATTACCAGCCACTTAGCGAGTAACTTGCCAAAGCTTGTTCTCTAGTGAGCATTAATTCTGGATCCTGCTCTTCCTGTGTGTTAAATCAAGCAGTCTAAGCCCTATATTTGTGTTAACAATGTCTTGTCCCATTCTATAGACTGTGGAGGGAGACTGATGGGGCTTCGTGGTACCTTCACATCACCTGGCTATCCCTCCCATTACCCACCTCAGACTGACTGTGTCTGGAACATTGAGGTAAAAATGATTTACCCTCAGTGTCATTTAACATCTCCTTCATCATTAATCTGTTCCTAACATTCAATAATGTAAGTTCTTAAATGTTCTGTCTGACAGGTTCCATCAGGAAAGCATATCAAGGTGAAGTTTGACAAGTTGTCTATACATAGCCCTGAACAAAACCCCATCAGCTGTCCAGCAGACTACTTGGAGATAAACTACAGGTCAGATAAAAGTGTCAAAAGAGTATTTATTTATTTA